CGGCCTCCGTCCGTCCGACCGTCAGCCGGCCAGCATGCAGCAGCAGCCCCCGCCCGGGCCCCCGGGCCCCGCGGCGGCAGAGCCGACCAAGCCTCCCTACAGCTACATAGCACTGATCGCCATGGCCATCCAGAGCTCCCCGGGCCAGCGGGCCACGCTCAGCGGCATCTACCGCTACATCATGGGCCGCTTCGCCTTCTACCGCCACAACCGGCCTGGCTGGCAGAACAGCATCCGCCACAACCTGTCGCTCAACGAGTGCTTCGTCAAGGTGCCCCGCGATGACCGCAAGCCGGGCAAGGGCAGCTTCTGGACGCTGGACCCCGACTGCCACGACATGTTCGAGCACGGCAGCTTCCTGCGCAGACGCCGCCGCTTTACCCGGCGTGCAGCAGCCGAGGGCACCAAGGGCCCGGCCAAGGCCCGCCGAGGGCTCCTCCGCGCCACCAGCCGGGACCTGGGAGCTCCTGACGCTGCAGCCCGTGGGCAGTGCCGGTTCCCCCCTGAGCTGCCGGAGCCCAAGGGCCTAAGCTTTGGGGGTCTGGTGGGCGCCTTGCCGGCCAGCATGTGCCCCGCAGCCACGGATGCCAGGCCCCGACTGCCCACGGAGCCCAAAGAAATGCCCACGCCCAAGCAGGCTGGTCCAGGGGAGCAGCAGGCAGCCACATCGCCCTCCCCTGGCCAAGCATTTGGCTTCCCTGCTGGCTTCTCTGAGCCTGAGGGCTTTGCCAAGACCCCTGCGCCCATCTTGACCAATGAGGTGGCTGTTGGGAGCGGCTACCAGTGCCGCCTGCAGGCGTTGAATTTCTGCATGGGGGCCGATCCGGGCCTGGAGCACCTCTTGGCCTCATCAGCTCCGTCCTCCACCACTCCCGCCCCCTCAGCCTCAGTGGGGGCCCCACTGCCCCTGCCCGCTGACCCAAAGGGACCCTGGGTTGCAGGCAGCTTCCCTGTCCAGGGTGGAGCCGGCTACCCACTGGGGCTGACGCCCTGCTTATACCGGACGCCAGGCATGTTCTTCTTCGAGTGAAGACAGCCTGGCCTCTGGAGTGTCCCTGTGGGGCCCCTGAAGCCACCAGCCTGCCAGGCTGCGCCGCGGGAGGCTGGAACCCAGAGAGCTCTTAAAGGACCCAGCCACGGCAAGCTGAGCACGGCCCAGTGGTCAGGAAGCCGGCACCGGAGCCTTGAACACCCAGCCAGGCCCTGGGACATCAGGACAGACTCGGGGTGAGGGGAAGTGGGCGGGGGGGCCTTCGGGGTTTTATCTGCGGCTCTCAGAGCCAATAAACCAGGGGCATGATGAGGCTCCGCCTGCTGGATGGTTGGGAACTGGGGTCCGGCTGCTGGTGTCTGTGGGGTAGTGGGGTTTGTGGGCTCTACAGTGGGCCCCGGGAGTCCCCAGATGGAAATGACCCACGTGAACTCTCTTCCTGCTGGGAATGTTTTCAGGGAGTTTCCCAGGAAGGGAGAGGAAGGGCGGTCAGGAAGGAGGGAGGAGGGAAGCCATCAAGAGAGAGGCCCGCCAGAGTGGGAGGGGGCTGTGGCTCTGAGCAGCCCTGAGGGCACCTTACATGTCTCCTCACTAGATGCTGGGCCAGGTGGACTATCACTGCCACTTGACAGTGGGGGAAACTGGGGCTCACGGGACCCAAACTGAGGCCAATGAGGCTCCAAAGACATGCTCTCCGACCCGGTCACCCACCCCGGCCCTCCAGCCCCGCATTGCCGTGTGAACAAAGATATGGGGATGTGGGCCAGGATCACAGCCGAGCTGGTGGTACCCCCAGAGGACCACGGGCTTGATGATATCCCAGACTGCCTGAGCTCAAAAGGACCCCATCCCTATTACACAGGAGCCTGGGGCACACGGTTAAGTGCTCTTGGCTGCTAACAAAGAGGTGGGGGGTTTGACCCCAGCCAGCAGCTCCTCTAGAGGAAGACCTGGTGTTAAGGGTACCAGCCAGGAAAGCCCGGGTGACCCAGGTTCTCACCCTGTCCCCCGGGTCCCCTATGACTCCCTAACCCAACAACCCACAGCACAGACAGAGAACCCAAGACTCAAAAGGAGGGATCTGGCCCCTTCTCCTGGGTCCCCCACACTGATGAGGGCACCTCCTGGACTCCCAGCTCTCCTGGAGGGTGGGAGGTGGGCAACCTGGCATGCTGAGTATTGATCAGAATTGACTGAGCACTGACCTTTGTCCTTCTCCGGCTGCCCCAGCCAGAGGGATGGACACAGGGCCTGAAACCTCACCAGCCCACCCCCCCCAGGGCGAGGAGGAGCAAAGCAAGTGGCTTCTCCTCTGGACCAGCATGGGCAGAAGAAAAGAGGGCCAAGGGGCTAGGGGCACACCCAGTCTTCAGTGTGGACCTCGCAGGGCCTGGAGGGTCTTCTGCCCCAAGAGGTGAAAAAATAACTGGGCACCCAAGGATTGGGACTCCTTGGTCAGGCAGCCTAGTCCTCTCCAGAGGTCCTCCTCCCTCGGCAGTCGGCCACCGTCTTCAGCCTCAGCCGCTCCCTCACAAGTCCCCTGGGGCCCAGGAGGAAGCAAGCCGGCTGGACAGCCCAAGCCCGTCTGGTTCCCACAGACTCCAGGTCCCAGGGTGGAGGGGGACCAGTGGGTGGGGGTTCGCTGTGGCCAAAAGGGGTTGGGAAAATGCCAGGCCAGCAGGAGGCCCCTCCCCACAGTGCCAGTCAGAGCTCACCCTGGAATGCACCGCCAGGCAGGGGAGAAAGAGTGAGAGTCTGCTGTCTTATTGGGGCAGCTTCTGGGGTCAGGGAAGGTGCAGCTGTCCGGGGTAGGAGAAGCATGGGCAAGGGGCCTCCTGAGTGACTTGGTACTGGGACGTGTACTTGTGTGGGTCAATGCACTTCGAGGTGCCTGTGTGTGACTGTGTGTGATATACTGAGACAGACAGTCATGTAAAGAAATGGGGACAAGCAGATTCCAACGGGCAGGGGCTCCTTTCTTGCTGGCTCGGGGGAGAAGGTGTCTGCAAACCAGGGACCTCAGTTCCCCCCACAGCCTGTGCCCTGGAGCCTGGCCAGACTGGCAGAGTCTAGGCCTCTGGAGTCATAGTGCTCAGTGCCCTTCCCAGGCCACCTGAGCCAGAATAAAGGCCTTGTGGAGAAGGCCAAGCCCCTGCTCACCTACCCCCACATGGAGGAACATGCCCAGTCTCAGCTATGTTTGAGTCCCCTCTCCCACCACCTCCCTCCCACCCCCAGCATAGTCAATAAAGACACCCATTCCCCAAGCAGGACCCCTGGGCTTAGCACCTGCTTTGGACTTGCTGTGTGACCCTGGACCAGTGCCCACCTTCTCTGGGCTTCCCTTTCACTCCATTACCCAGAAAGTGAACTCTCTCTGCCCATGGCCCAGGGGAGGGACTGACTCAAGGTGGGGCCAGGAGGGCCCAGGCCCGGAGGGGGTGCTGGGCTGAAGGACCCAGACGTCATGATCTCATCTTGCCCTCTGCTCGCTGCCCAGCCCGGGAACCCCACCCACTGGGCCTCCGGCCCTCACATTTTTTCCATGACCAACACTGCCTGGCCACCCCCACCTTGGCAGGGGCTGGGGTGGTAACTGGAGAGTCAGAACGTCTCCAGCTATGTCAACCCAGAGAACACAGATGGAAAGACCATGATCAGAGACAGCAAGTGGTGTGCCCAAGGCCACACAGCACTGTCTCCTCTACCTCTGAACAAATCTGCCTCGGCCCCGGGGCCCCACCCAGCACCCGCTGTTCCCCAGCCCAGCAAGTCCGAATGGCCTGGATGCTTTGCAGAGTTGTAATTAGATGCTGTGGTGTCTGTCGACTCATGACCACCGACCCCTCCTCCACGGATGCAGAATCCCTCCCGGACTTTCAGAGCTTCTACGGCTGGGACGTCCCAGAAGCTGATCACCAGGTCTGACTTCCAAGCTTCCCCTTCATAGTGGGACGCTCACCCTTGCACATCACCCAGTGGCTCCCACAGACTCCTGGAGAAGCCGAAGGAAATCCTAACATGGTAGAATTGGTGGACTTTCAGAATATTTGAGAGGGGTTTTTTTTGTTTTGTTTTTTAATGTAATCACAGCAGCTCAGATTCTTGAAATAGCACAGTTGGAAGGGCGTCTCCTGATTTCTGAACCCCCTCTATGACCTCAAGTGGGTGTCGGTTCTGGCTCGCACCCACCCACCGGGGTAGAGGTGCCCACGCCTTCAGAGGCAGCCCCTCCTTGGTGCCTCCCAACAGCTAGGGAGGACCTTCAGGAAGGGCTTCACCTGCTGCCCTCTGCTCTGGGCTTGCAAACAGGGATGTGGGGCACCTTCCTGCCCCCAGAGCCCACCCCCACCCACTGGGCTGGGCTCCCTCGCGCCACCCCCCCACACACACACCTTATCTCTCGCCAACCCACTTCCTTCCTTGCTTCATGGCATTCCACCACCCAGGGTTGGATACTCCCACCCCCAGAGAGTGAGAGTGTGGGCCAGGGGTGGAGACAGCCATGGAGGGGCAAGCCCTCAGGCAGCCCGAGGCTTGAGGAAGAAGGGGGAGGTTGTGTTGGCCAGCCCAGCGAGTCCCCCTGCTGGGAGGGTCCCGGGACCCCAGAATCCAGGTCTCTGTCCAAACATCTATCCCTCACCCAAGCACTGGGCCCGGCCTGCTGAAGGTGGGGCTGTCCCGGGCCTTCAGAGGAAGGGCGTACTGTGGAGACGTGCACGGCTCTGGAGCGCCACAGTCGGGGTTCACGTCTCAGCTCCCCCACCTGCTTGCCGTGTGAGCTTGCTCACGTTACCTCCCCCAGTCTGGCTTTCTCTCTCTTTAACATTCAGACACAGACTCGCCCAGGACCTACCCCCCTGGGTGTCATGACATAGGCCACCTGCGTTCATCTTTGTGTGTGAGGTTTCAAAAATCATTTTACTGGGGACTCATACAGCTCTTATCACAATCCATCCATCCATGTGTCAAGCACAACTGTACCTATGTCGCCAACATCATTTCAAAACATTTTCTTTCTACGTGAGCCCTTGGTATCGGCTCCTCTCCCTCCCTCACTTCATGAACTCTTGATAACTTATAAAGTATTATTCTTTTCATGTCCTATACCTACCGCTGTGTCCCTTCACCTACTTTTCTGTTGTCTGTCTGTCTAGTCTGAAGCACTCACATACAAGGTCTGGCCACGCACACTGTCCCGTGCCTGTGAAAGAAAATAAATCATGATCCCTGGCATGTCCCCCTGCACCTGATTTACTCCCAGGGAATGTTCCAGCCACTGTGGGTTAGGGAGGGGTGGGCAGGAATGAGGGGAAGGCTGCTCTTTAGGCAAGGCTTGAGCTCACTTCCTTCCCCTACCACGTCCTTACTGGGTGACCTTTACCCCTCTGAGCCTCACTTTGCTCATCTGTAAAATAGGGTGATGATTCCAATCCCAGCCTGGTGTGTGAGAATCCTTGGCCTGGGCATATTACAGGACAGCAACCAGGAACATAAACAGCCCCTGGGGGCCTCCAACCTTCCCCCCAGCCCTGAAGACCCTTCCTTTGAGCCGTCCAGAGGCGCCAGCCCCAGCTCCGGCCCTGCTGGCAAGTGGGTGTCAGCTGCAGGAGGAGGCTGGTGGCGCAGACCGCTAAAATCAGAGGGGACACCCGGAAGCTACCCACTTGGCTAGAACCCCGCTCGGTGCCTCTTCCCGACCTCAGGCCTCAGGCCACCTGGCCTCCCTGAGGGCTGTGGATGGCAGGGTGACCCTGCTGTTAGATGGCCTATTGCTCCCACCACAGTGTTCCCAGCTTTCACCTGGCTGCCCCTCACCTGGGTGGCTCATAGCCTCCAGAGCCCAGCGTAGATCGCCCCTCCGCCACTGAGGAGCCTGCCTTCACCCTCCATCTGATGAGCTGCCCCATCACTCACATCTCTGCAGGCTCCCGAGTTGTGGGGGGGCCCTGGGGCCATAGGGGGGACTCGCCGGGCTGTCCAGCAGCAAGAGTAGCTATGAGCTGGCATGACCGAGGGGCAGTGAGTCTGGGCGTGAACGTAAACTTCCTGAAGGCAGGCCTGGGGTGGGCCTCTCACTCGTTAGATCCTAGATCCGCTGCCCTCCCACACTGAACAGATGTGCTGTGAAAACCAACCCGCTTGTTGCCCTCGGGCCCTTGGTGAGCCCACTTCGGAGCAGAACTGTACTCTGCTGGGGTGTCTGAGCCACGGAAGGGCAGTAGGATCCCGCAG